CCTGAGTGACAAGCAAACAGGCAGAAAGAAGAAGAAGGAGAAGAAGAAGGCAGTTTTTGTCAGTCAGGATATTGTATATCAGTTCCTTACTAGGTCACAGTTCTGTCCTAGGAGAAAATTCATAGGACTCTGTGGAGCTCTTATTTTCAGTGGATTTTGTATCTGGGCAGGCAGTCGTCAGTTCTTGACCTGGTAGTTAATAACCACAGCGTAGACCAGTAGTTTTCAATCCCTTTACTCCTGGAGTCCAGCACTACAGATCAGTGATTGAAAACCATTGCTGTGGTGTTCTACATTTTAATGGACTCGTTCAGAAAGTGATACGAGAGACTTTAGGTACATGTGTTTTCTTAGAGATACAGCTTTTTTTTTCCCCTTTGGCCATGGGACGCTTTTGGACCACATGTTATGATGTTTGAGTACTGATCCTGGAGACATGGTTGGGGTAATTCCTGCTTGGGAGACCCAGCAGTACCAGGAATCAAATACAGGTCTCCAGCATGAGAAGCCTATGTTTGGGCCCCGTGAACTATCTCTGCAGCCCTACGTTTATGCTTCTGAGAAATCAGAGGACTTTTATCATTGAAAATGCAATTTATAAAGTCTTTTTTGTTTTTGATTTTAAATAAGGTATCTTTGAATTTCATGCTCCGGTTTTACCATCACCAAATGTGCCTGAATGATAAGGACTGTTACTAGCATCATAATCTGATACTGTTAAATTAAATCTTTAAAATACTGGGAGGGTAGAGTTGGGACGAGAGTATAAAATTGAAATCATAATTTGATTAGAAAGGATATGGAAGTGCTTAATAAATCTCCGCTATAATTAGCCCAGTGGGTTAAATTGAGAATGAGACAGATGAAAACACTTTTGTCCTTGCTGCAAACTGCAGCTCTGTGTCTGGGCAACCCTGGCACCAAGGATTACCAGCAGTTGGAAGATGACTTAACTTTGAGACGGGGTCAGCACCAATCCCTGACTCCCTTCAGAAAAGCCACCGAAAGCTAATTCTTGAAAGTAGGTCAGTGACGTCCTAAGTAAACAGTAAGGATGTTTAGAATTGTGAGGGCTCCTAAGGGAAACGCAAAAATTTCTGACATGAATTTTGTATGACCTTTGGATCCTTCTGGACACTGTAAACTTCATATTCTGTGAATCAAAACTGTGGGACTGCCACTGTCCTCCCATTGATCGTCGATTTGTTCGAGCAGGCCCGGTGACGTCTCCATCGTGAGACTTGTTGTTACTGTGTTTTGGCATATTGAAGTGGGACTGGCATGTGAGTCAATTTTATTATTATTTTGAGAGGCCTCCTAGGCAGTGTTCAAGAAGTCCAGGGGCACATTTCTGGAGATACGTGAGCCCTGTGATGCAGCGCTGCTTGGACCCGCCAAAATTGTGGACCTTGAGGGCTAGTTCCGGCATCACCGGGGACCATGCAGTGTGGAGGGTCAAACTGGAGGCCTGTGCCAGTGAGGCAAGTACTCCAGCCCTTTGCGCTACCTCCCCAGTCCTAGAGCATGTCTGCTTATACCTTAATAAATAATGCCTTTTTGAGATTTATTTCTCATTATTGCTGTGTTAAGGGTCCTCTAAGTCAGGGATATTGCTCAGTGATAGAGAACATGTTTTTACACACATAAAGTCCTGGGTTCAGTCCCTGGCATCAGTGAGGGGGGAAAAGGCCACCAATTGAAGTTTTGTTTTGTTATTTTATCACAACCAGGGGCGCTCAAGGGTTGCTTGTGGTTTGGTGCTCAGGGGTCCCTCTTAGGACTGATGGGGGACCTTTTGGTGCCAGTGATCAGACTTGGTCCTCTGCCTGCAGAGCTTGCACTCCATCCTAATGAGCCTCTCAGTACTCAGTAATTTGAAGTGATGAACTCTTGGGGCTGGAGCGATAGCACAGCAGTAGGGCATTTGCCTTACACACGGCCGACCCGGGTTCGATTCCTCCACCCCTCTCGGAGAGCCCGGCAAGCTACCAAGGGTGTCTCACCCGCTCGGCAAAGCCTGGCAAGCTCCCTGTGACGTATTTGAGATGCCAAACACAGTAACAAGTGTCACAATGGAGACGTTATTGGGCCCGCTCGAGCAAATCAATGAACAACGGGAGGACAGTGACAGTGACAGTGAAACTGTTTTCAACATGTTTTTAAACGTCACACCAGTGTTTTATTATTATTCTTCACAGTCACTGTCATCCTGTTGTTCATCCATAGCCTCGACCAGGCAGCAGTAACGTCTCCTTCATTCTAGGCTGAGATTTTAGAAAGTGCCACATTCGAGGTTCTTTCAGGGTCAGGAGAATGAGACCCATCATTGTTACTGGTTTTTGGCATATTGAATATGCCACGGAGAGCTTGCCAGACTCTGCTGTGCAGGCAGGACACCCTTGGTAGCCTGCCAGGTTCTCCTCATTATTATTATTATTATTATTGGTTTAGAGACCAACCTGGCAGTGCTCACGGCTTACTCCTGGTCTGTGCTCAGAGATCACTTGGGCAATGCTGGGGATAGACCTGGTCTGCCATGTGCTCGCCAAGTGTCTTAACCTCTGTACTATCTCTCCCGCCTCACCCTAAGACACCTGAAGTGGGACCTGTATGATGGTACCGCAGGCAAGCTTTGCACATGACTGACCTTGATTTAATTCCCTGTACCCAGTGTGGTCCACTGAGCCAAGAACACCATTATGTGTGCACCCCCATCCCTGCCCAAAAAAAAAGGTGACCTGAACAAGTCTCCTTTATAACCTATTAAGATTTTATTTTGCCTCCTATCTCTCCCTATAGATACATAAGGGAGTAATTGATTTCTTACCCTGTTGCCAAATCTAATAATTTTTTTAAATACTGAAATTTGAGATTGTTTTGCTCATCACATTATTCTTAATTTTCTTACTTAAATAATACCAGCATCTACTTGAAAGGCTGTGTACCAAGTATCGTGGAGGAAACTATGAATAAAGTGCCTAAAAGTTCTGGTTTTGGAAAATATTTTCTTAGAAAATAAAAAGGAAAGAAAGAGGTAGAATTTAGTAAGCATCTGGAACTAAAGATGTAAATACCTTGGGGCTAGAGTGATAGCACAGCAGGTAGGGCGTTTGCCTTGCACGCTGCCGACCCGGGTTCGATTCCCAGCATCTCCTATGGCCCCCTGAGCACTGCCAGGAATGATTCCTGAGTGCAGAGCCAGGAGTAACCCCTGTGCATCACCAGGTGTGACCCAAAATGCAAAAAAAATAAAAAGAGATGTAAATACCAAACCATTGGTATTTATGTTTTCCTTTAATTCTTCACATGTTGCCTGTTGCTGAACTGGTTTCAACTACGTGGGAGACCTGTACTGTGGAACCTGTACTATCTCTCCAAACCCCAGAGGGATGATTTAATAAACATGAGCCACAAATGTCTTCTCTAAAGACTGACTTCTGAAGAAGAGCAAAAAAAAGTGGGATTTTTGCTTGTTTGTAATTTTTGTTTTATATTTTCAACTAATTAGCACTTCTCAGAATTCTCTATTTTTTCAATTTAAAATGTTTTTCTTTGCTTTTCTCAAATTTCATATGTGTTTTTAGATGCAAGAGGATATATTTTGTGCCTTTGTTTTCTGTTGGTTACTTTGTATATATGCACCATTGTTTCTGTTACATATTTCTGAACTATGGAGCTTTAGAAATTTAGACCTTCTTACAGAACCTAGGATGGGTAAATCAAAGCATCAGTGCCATTATTAGTAGTAAGCAGTGGTGTCTGCTTGATATTCTGACAGCTGTCTCTTTCCTGTAAGTGAGCTTTAAATAAACTTAAGAACCTGGCCTTTATAAGGATTTGGATGTTGGATATTGTGGTTCTTTTTTAAATTCGACTAATCAAGGAGGTAGGATCAGGGTACAAAAATACAAGAACAAGATAGCTATTATTTTTCATAATATTTTAAAAGAATTTGAAGATCTGAAAATTCAGACATGATTCCAGGTTACTCCGCATAAGATACAGTTTGGGTGGGGTTGTTAGTAAACAATATGTATTTATGGGCATGCAGATCGTTAACTTTTAGATCACAACATATATAATGTATGTAAATCATATACATACACATTATTAACAACTTTACATCACAACTGGAGATGTTGGTTCCTCATTAACTAGTTTTCTAGGGGCTGAAGCAAAAGTACAGCAGGTAAGTAGCTTTGCGTGCAGCTGACCAAAGTTTGATCCCCGGTTCCACAGAGTCCCCTGAGCCTTCCCAGAGTGATCCCTGGAAACAGAGCCAGAGTAAACACTGTGGGGCCAGAGAGGTAGGACGTCAGGTAGGGCACTTGCTTTGCACGTGGTCAGCCGGGTTTGCCCCCGGCATTCCGTTTGGTCCCCTGAGCACTGCCAGGAATGATTCCTGAGTGCAGAGCCAGGAGTAAGCCCTGAGCACTGCCAGGTGTGAGACTCCTCCCACCTCACCAAAAAAGAAAAAGTTCTTTTCTTTAGGGATGCAAGAGAAATAACAGTGTTATCCTTTTGATTTTTTTCAAGTTTTAGAATGGCCACATGGACTAATTTAATAACTTACCCCGTACTCTGGACTGGAGTGATAGCACAGCGGGCAGGGTGTTTGCCTTGTCATGAGTCCAACCTGGGTTTGATTCCTCAGTCCCTCTCGGAGAGCCTGGCAAGCTACCAAGAGTATCCCGCACCACGGCAGAGCCTGGCAAGCTCCCCGTGGTATATTCGATAAGCCAAAAGCAGTAGTAACAAGTCTCACAATGGAGACATTCCTGGTGCCCGCTTCAAGCAAATCGATGAACAATGGTAGGACAGTGCTACAGTGCTGCCCCATATTCCACATACCAAAGTGAAGAGTTCGTTTCATGTTTTCAGAGTTGAATAGAATTGCTTTGAAAGGCTTCAAAATGAAATCAATCATTTGTGTCTTCGTGGCTTATGAGGCTTGAGTCACTGGAAAAGGAGTTAATTTAAGATGTTTTGCTTTGCTTCAGGAGTTAAGTGATCTACAACGTGACCCACCTGCTCACTGTTCAGCTGGACCTGTAGGAGATGACTGTAAGCTTCTGCTTTGTTGCTGGGACTTTGCCATCTTGAATATAGGTTTGAACATTGATTAATGACTCCGAAACTCCTTTGTTTTATTTCAGTGTTCCATTGGCAAGCTACTATCATGGGGCCTGTAAGTATGATTCATATCTGAAGTAAATCCCCCCAGCCATAATTCATTCTTGGCCATTTGACCTTTGGCCAGTTGTTTGTGGCTAATGTTGAATTGTTCTCTGAATCACTCAGGAAACAAAATATAATTAAAGGACTTGTTATGATTGCTCTAGATCACTGGTGATTGCAAATAGCTTGGATCACTATGTGTTTGTTTTCCTTCGTCAAGATCTTAATCGTTATATATGTTAATGGAACACCCAAAATTTGCAGTCAAGCCGTGTATTGCCTTTTTTCTAAATACAAAAATGCCAGTTGTCCAGGATGCAGAAAGACAGTACAATAGGGAATGCACTTTCCTTGCAGGCGGCTGACTCAAGTTGGATCTGCTGTGGGACTCGGTGTGGTCCCCCAAGGCCCACCCAGAGTGATATCTGAGCACAGCACCAGGAAAATCTGAGCGCCACAGATCTGGTCCAAAAGCCACAAACCAAAAATTTAGTTCTGAAATAAGCATAATTGGAAATAAGTCTACTTAATCTAATAAAGGAATTCTTTCAAGTAGTAATATGCAGAAATCGTCATCATGGTTCCTATCTGAAACCAAAATGATAAAATACCACAGTGGGAGGCCAGAGAGATGGTACAGTGGATAGGGTAGTGGGTAGTGGCCTCACATGCAGCCAACCAGGGTTCAGCCCTGGCATCCCATATTGTCCCCTGAGCCTCTCCAGGATTAATCCCTGAGTATAGAGCCAGGAGGAACCCCTGAGTTTTGGGTGTGGCCCCAAACCCAAAAACAAACAGACGAAACAATCACAGTGGGTCTATATTTGCCACTTTATGAATTTGTAAATTTTAGTTTTGTTTTTTCAGTTTAGAATTACCTGTCATTGTATGGCTAGCTTCTCGTAACCCTTATTATCTTTGTTAAGGTTGTTCATTTCTGCACCCAAAAGGTAGTTATAATTTTGGAACAGGATTTTCTTTCTGTGAGCAAGCAACAACAACAAAATCTGATTGCAAAAGAATGAGTACTGATAACTGGAATTGACATTCTAGGTGAGAGTATATTAGTAGCATGTTTATACGGACCTCATGCCCTCCCCCAGAAGAGCTTCGGTAACTTGTGAAATTTCCACTTATAGTGTCTTAGCTTTAATTTTCAGGGACTGGAGAGACAGTACAGAGTTAAGGCACTTAACTTGCCCACAGTCGACTGAGGTATGATCCCCAGCACCACATAGGGTTCCCTGAGCACTTCCAGGAATGACTCCTGAGCACAGAGCCATCAGTAAACCCTGAGCTCTGCCAGGTGTGTCCCCAGAACATGTCATATATCCATCCACACATATATAATCAGAGCTGGAATCCATTTGGTGTCTCAAATGACTAATAGTTATGTTGTTGTCATTTTTAACAGGTAAGATGCAACATTTTAAAGACAATTTCCAAGAAGAATATAGTTGTTTCTATTTGCTTTTTGATTACTTAATAAGAGCCTTTTGGGTACTATCATTTATAGGTCCACCCTTGCCATCTGAATTATAACCATTCACATGGGGAAATCACATGTAATAAGTGGGTTACAGTTATGTTACCAAAATTATGTTACTTCTGCCCCTTTTTGTTTTAATAAAATAAAATGCTGCTCTATATGACATTTGAATTTCTAAGACCATAACTGTTGAATGTCATATTTTCCACATTCCGTATATATGGGAAGAATAATTATGCAAGCAGTCCTCAAACATATATGCAGAAACTAAAGAAGGAAGCAATGATAGTCTTAACATTATCAAGTGTTAATATCAAGTAATTAAAATAGGGACCAAAGAGATAGTCCAGTAGGTAGGGTTCTTGCCTTGCACTTGGCAGACTCAGATTCAATCCCAAATGGTTCTCCAACTAATGCCATGAGCAGTTCCTGAGAGCAGAGCCAGGAGTACGCCTGTGTACCCTGTGTGGCCCAAGAAACAAAATAAAACTAAAAACAAAATAATTAAAATAATTTTTTCTCTTTTTAGTTACCTTTTATTTGTAACATCATAGGTAAAGGTAAAGGCCCTCCCATTGTTCATCGATTTGCTCGAGCGGGCCCAGTAATGTCTCCATCGGAGACTTTGTTGTTACTGTGTCTGGCGTATCGAATACGTCACGGGGAGCTTGCCAGGCTCTGCCGTGCGGGCGAGATACTCTCGGTAGCTTGCCGGGCTCTCCGAGAGGGGTGGAGGAATCGAACTCGGGTCGGCCATGTTGGCTGCGTGCAGGGCAAATGCCCTACCGCTGTGCTATCGCTCCAGCTTTATGATGTTTATGTAACATCATAAACATTTTATAACTACCCTAGAGAAGCATAAGCAAATTTAAATTTCTCGTATGCAATTGACTCCTGTCATAATTCTATGAAAAATGGGTTAACCAAATGTTTTGTTTTTAGGCTCTACAGGCTACTTTTTACATTGTTTTACGAACAGCTAGAAAATGAAAAAATTTGAAGTTTAGGTTGTATAGCATTGTTTCTTAACTATTTTTTTCATAATTTGATTTTTTTCTATTCATTTTAATTTGTGCCTCTTAAAGGGCGTCAAAACTTAAGCCTCACAATTAAGAAGGTAAAAACTAGCCCGATTCTTTTTTCTGTATTGATTGCTGCTGCAGAGATTCATTCTTTTCTCACTGCTACCTTGAGTTTATGGTAATCTTGAAAAACCTGTACTCAGACTTGTTTGCGCACGTCACACTATTGTGTGTATCCTAGTTTTGTTCTAAATTCTGTGATGGCAACATGATTGTTGGAGAACCCTTCATTCCTGCAAAGGGAAAGCTGCTTCAAGGTAAGTAAGTGAAACTTATGACAAAAAAATTTTTTGGACTTATGTATTTGGGGGAAGATAAATCTGTAGTAATCAAACACTGATGCACATGTTTTATCATTTCAGCCTGATAGCGCGTATCAAGGTGGAGTCTTCTTTCTCACTGTACATTTCCCGACAGACTATCCTTTTAAACCACCAAAGGTATTTTTATGCTTATGACTCATGTTATTCCTATGTCAGGGATTTTACTCTCCATCCAGAGATATTTTCATGGTGATGGCAAAGACTGTGAATAGGTTAGCCGGGTTCAAACTGGCTGTGCAACCACTAAATCTAGAATATTCTTTTTTTTTAAATTTTTATTAGTGAAATACCATGAGGTACAGTTGTAGATTTACAAATTTTTGTGCTTGGGTTTCAATTATACAATGATAAATACCCATCCCTCCACCAGTGCCCATTTTCCACCACCACGGGTCCCAGTATCCCTCCCACCCCCCATCCCCACCCTTCCCACCCTGCCTCTGTGGCAGGGCATTCCCTTTTGTTATCTCTCTCCTTTTGGGTGTTGTGGTTTACAGAAGAGGCACTAAGTGGCAATCATGTTTGGTCCATAGTCTACTTTCAGCATTTTTCTCCCATTCTGAGAGGATCCTCCCAACACCCTTTATTTGGTGCTCCCTTCTCTATCTGAGCTCCCTTTTCCCCTAGCATGTGTGGCTGGCCTCCAAGCCATGGAGGAAACCTCCTGGTACTAATCTCGGCCACTCTTGGGTGTTAGTCTCCTATTTTGTTACTTTATGTTCCCCAGATGAATACAATCTTTCTATATCTGTCCCTCTCTTTCTGACTCATTTCACTTAGCATGATACTTTCCATGTAGTACCACTTGTATGTAAATTTCATGACTTCATCTTTTCTAACAGCTACGTAGTACTCCATTGTGTAGATGTACCAAAGTTTCTTTAACCAGTCATCTGTTCTAGGGCACTCAGGTTTTTTCCAGTTTCTGGCTATTGTAAACAGTGCTGCAATAAATAAACAAGTGCAGATATCACTTCGACTATACATTTTTGTCTCTCTGGGATATATTCCCAGGAGAGGTATTGCTAGGTCAAATGGGAGCTCAATTACTAATTTTTTGAGAATCGTCCATACCGTTTTCCAAAAGGACTGGACCAGTCGGCATTCCCACCAGCAGTGAAGGAGGGTTCCTTTCTTGCCACATCCACGCCAACACCAGTTGCTTTTGTTCTTTTGGAGTCTCTGTGGTATGGTGATATCTCATTGTTGTTTTGATCTGCATCTCCCTGATGATTAGTGATGTAGAGCATTTTCTCATGTGCCTTTTTGCCCTTCGGATTTCTTCTTTGAAAAGTTTCTGTTCATTTCGTCACCCCATTTTTTGATGGGGTTGGTGGTTTTCTTCTTGTGGAGTTCAACCAGTACTTTGTATATCTTTGATATCAACCCCTTGTCGGATGTGTATTTGGCGAATATCCTTTCCCATTCTGTAGACTGTCTTTGTATTTTGGTCACTGTTTCTTTTGAGGTACAGAAGCTACTTAGTTTAATATAGTCCTGTTTATCTATCTCTGTTTTCACTTGCTTGGCCAGTGGTGTGACATCTTTGAAGATACTATTAGCATCAATACCATGGAGGGTTTTGCCAACTTTGTCTTCAGTGAACTTTATGCATTCCAGTCTGATGTTGTGGTCTTTAATCCATTTTGATCTTACTTTTGTACATGGTGTTAGGCAGAGATATGAGTCCACTTTTTGCATGTAGCCGTCCAGTTTTGCCAGCACAATTTGTTAAAGAGGCTTTCCTTGCTCCACTTCACATTTCTTGCCCCCTTATTGAAGATTAGATTATCATATGCTTGGGGGGAGATGTCATTATATTCAATCCTGTTGCATTGGGCTACAGCTCTGCCTTTGTTCCAGTACCATGCTGTTTTAATTATTACTGCTTTGTAGTAGAGTTTGAAGTTAGGGAGGTTGATTCCTCCATTTTCTTTTTCCCAAGAATTGCTTTAGCTATTCGTGGGGGCTAATTGTTCCATATAAATTTCAGGAGTGTTTGCTCCATTTCTTTGAAGAATGTCATGGGTATCTTGATACAGATCACATTGAATTTGTACAGTGCTTTGGAGAGTATTGCCATTTTGACAATGTTAATTCTCCCGATCCATGAGCAGGGGATATTTTTCCATTGAAATCTAGAATATTCTTTCTTAAATATTTTATCATGTTTCTAAATGACACAGTATCCGCAGGCAAGAGAGGCAGTCCAGGGGTTTAAGTGGATGCTTGCCTGTTTCTGATCCAGGTTCAATCCCTACATAGCATATGGACACCCAAGCACTGCGAGAAGTGATCCCTGAGCACAGAACCAGAAGTAGTCCATAAGCACTGCTTTGTGTGGACTCTCCCACCAATTTTTTAAATTAAAAATTAAATTTAGAACAATTTAAAAATTAAACTTTCAGGTAAATAATCTTTCGTAGTTGATCTTTTTTTCTCAATTGTTAAGTGCTCAGTAGACATTTATTGAACATATGTTCTGTTACATTGGAGAATACAGACATAAGTATGATGTGGTCTTTGTATTTATTTATTTATTTGTTGGCTTTTTGGGTCGCACCCGGTGATGCTCAGGGGTTACTCCTCTGTCTGCACTCAAAAATTACTCCTGGCAGTGTTCGGGGGACCATATGGGATGCTAGGGATCAAACCCAGGTCAGCCACGTGCAAAGCAAATACCCTACCCACTGTACTATTGCTCCAGCCCTGTGTCTGTATTTCATGTGTTAGGAGAGGTAAAGACATGTTTTTATGAAATTTAGTTTAGATTTAAAGAGAAAACAAACAGATGAGATACCGAGAAAAAAGGATCGCTAGCAAATCTGTCACTCTGAAAATAATTATTTTAGTTTTTTATTTTTATTTATTTATTTTGCTTTTGGGGTCACACCTGGCTCTGCACTCAGCAGTTACTCCTGGCGGTGCTCAGGGGAGCTTATACTGGGATGCTGGGAATCGAACCCGGGTCGGTCGCATGGAAGGCAAACACCCTACCCACTGTGCTATTGCTCCAGCCCCTATTTTAGCTTTTTAAAACACATGGTTAGCATTATATGAAATATCTAACATTTCATCTGGAAGACTAAATCTCTTAGTGAATTTCTTCTGGCAGTTCACAAGCTGAGGTCCCTCAGCTCTCCCCTGGAGTGGGATTGTACCTTCTTTTAGATCCAGGTGTCACTTTCAGTATTATTGATAATTGACTTAAGAAAATGATTGCTGGGGGTATGGTGCCGCCAGCAGGTCAATCTGTACCTGTGAGGCGAGTGCATCAGCAGCCTCATGGCGCCTTCAGACTTCCAGATACCCCAAAATTGCTGCTGTGCCTTTGGCCAGACCCCAAAAACTGGGGGCAAAGTTTACCAAGAAAGTAAACGGCCAAAAGTTAGGTATGTGGGAAACACACCCACAAACCACCTCTGGCTCAGCTATATAATTGGAGGCAAGGCCTCTTTGGTTCCTGATTGAACTGCTTAATGGACATGATCCCAGAGACTCAGAAACGAATCTCAGAACCCAGTGGCTTTAGGTAGAAATGCGTCTGGTCTCTGCAGTAGGCTACCGGTGCTGGGCCAACCCAGGTGGGAATAGGTTTCGTGCCTTGGCCTATTCCCCCTGGCGGCCCAGTGGCCGCCATCCGTCTAAGGCCACTGGATAGTCACATTTGGGCCCCCAATAACAAGACACACAGGGCCTCACGGGATGAGGGTGGAGCCGGGCTTGTCCTCCCCACCCCAACGAGACCCCAAGTCATCGCCCACGAATGGCCTCTCTGGCTCCTGATCAAGCTGCTTAACGGCCATGATCCCAGAGACTCAGAAACAAATCTCAAAACCCAGTGGCGTTTGGCAGAAATGCATCCGGACTCCACAGTACGTTACTGTTGCTGGGCCACCCCAGGGAGGAAAGGGTGTTGTCCCTCCGCCTGCTCCCTCTTGGTGACTTGGTGGCTGTCATCCTCTAGAGGCCATTGGACACTCAGGCTTGGGCCCGCAGTGACAAAACTTGTTGGGTCTCACGGGATGGGGGGGGGAGGTGGAGCCGGGCCTGTCCTCCCCACCCTAACGAGACCCCAAGTCATCGCCCACAAACGGCCTCTCTGGCTCCTCATCAAGCTGCTCTGGCTTGATCCCAGAGACTCAGAAACAAATCTCGAAATCCAGCAGCTTTTGTCAGAAATGTGTCCGGACCCTGCAGTAGGTTACTGTCACCAGGCCACCCCAGGGGGGAATGGGTGCTGTCCCTCCGCCTGCTCCCTCTTGGCGACTTGGTGGCTGTCATCCTCCAGAGGCCATTGGACAGTCAGGCTTGGGCCCGCAGTAACGAAACTTGTTGGGTCTCACGGGATGGGGTGGAGGTGGAGCCGGGCCTGTCTTCCCCACCCCAATGAGACCCCAAGTCATCGCCCACGAATGGCCTCTTTGGCTCCTCATCAAGCTGCTCAACGGCCATGATCCCAGAGACTCAGGAGCAGATCTCTAAACCCAGTGGCTTTTGGCAGAAATCCCTCCAGATTTAAGTGTTAAAATTTCAGAATTTCAAAACCACATGGCCCTACTGCAGCCACACGACATCATATGTTAGTCATAACCAGCAATAGAACACAAATTGTCTATTGTTGCCTTTTCAGCAGATCTAAGTGTTGGGGTAAAATCTTAAATAATGGTGGGTCTGGTGTCGAAGTAGTGAATGTGATCAAAGTAGAGAGAGAGTAATGTGGAGATCATCTGCCCCACAGGCAGGGGGAGGGTGTGGGATGGGGGTATACTGGGATTTTTGGTGGTGGAGAATGGGCACTGGTGAAGGTACGGGTGTTTCATTGTATGACTGAGACTTAGACCCAAAAGCTTTGTAACTGCTCTTACGGTGATTCAATAAATAAAATTATAAAAAATGGAAAAAGAAAAAAAAAGTAAGGTGGAGTTCATGCACAATTCAATCAGCTAATCAGTGGCTGAATAAATAGCAGTACTCCTACAAAAAAAAGAAAAAAAAAGAAAAAAAAATGATTGCTTTAGGATATCCTGGTTGTTTGCCTCAGTTGTTTGTTTAATTATGCAACCAGTTATGCTATTATAAACTACTTGATACTAAAAACTTCCTTGACAGAATGAGGCATGTCAATAAAGTACAGATCCAATTTTTATGCGTCTGTTTTCACATTCCGGCAGCTAAAAATAATGTGTGTGGAGAGCAGAGAGATAGCACACTGGGTAGGCCTTTGCATCCAGCAGACCCAGTTTCAATCCCTGGTACCTCCCATGGGCTCCTGAGTGCCTCTGGGGACTGATCCCTGAGTGCAGAGCCAGGAGTAAGCCTTGAGCACCACTGGCTTGGGCCCCAAACCAAAAAAAAAAAATTAAAAATAAATCTAATGTGTATAATATAGAAGCCTATTTCATTTATATTGAATATATTTCATCCTAAGATCACATGAAATTGAGGACATTTTACCCTAGAGCATATTGATTGGTCTTGTTCATTCTTTATGGTTTGTCATTTTTTTTTCTTTATGTTTAGATTGCTTTCACAACAAAAATCTACCATCCAAACATAAACAGTAATGGAAGTATTTGTCTCGATATCCTGAGATCACAGTGGTCACCTGCTCTGACTGTGTCAAAAGGTAATTTCATTTATCATATTTGTAACAGTTGGTAAAAGTAAAAAAATGCAATAAAAATAGAAGTATCTAGGGACTAAAATTTTAAAGAAACCATCTACTGTGTTCTTTTCTGTTTCAATTTCACATTGCTTTCATAGCTTCATAGCTTTCCTTCGTTAGCAATTAATTTGTAGGGAGGGTAAAATGATGGGCAGTTCTAAATGATGAGGAGAGAGAAGTTTAAAATGTTAGAACTAGGGGCTGGAGCGATAGCACAGCGGGGAGGGCGTTTGCCTTGCATGCGGCCAACTCGGGTTCGATTCCCAGCATCCCATAGGGTCCCCCGAGCACTGCCAGGAGTCATTCCTGAGTGCATGAGCCAGGAGTAACCCCTGTGCATTGCCGGGTGTGACCCAAAAAGCAAAAAAATAGAAATAAAGTGTTAGAACTAGAAATTTGGGGCATATTACACCTTTAGATTGCACATTGTCTTTTGCTTTTTTTGGGTCACACCCAGTGATGCTCAGGGCTTACTCCTGGCTCTGCACTCAGGAATCACTCCTGGTGGTGCTCAGGGGACCATATGGGCTGCTGGGGATTGAACCCAGGTCGGCCGCGTGCAAGGCAAACACCCTACTATCTCTCCGGCCCTGCATATGTCTTTAAAGGGGAAAAGAAAGTAAAAGGGGCCAGAGCAAAAGCACAGCAGTTAAGGCACTTGTCCTGCATGCTGCCAACCTGGGTTCAATCCCAGGTCCCCAGAGCCCATCAGGAGTGATTCCTGACTGCAGAGCCAAGAGTAGGCCCTGAATACCACCAGGTGTGGCCCCCAAAGAAAAACAAAACAAAATTTTAAATAAAAGAAGTAAAAATAAAATTTTTTAAATAGTTGTTCCATTTATTAAATAGAATCGTTAGCATAAGAACTTTGACAATTTTTACTTTATATCTCAAAGTAGACTGATATGGTGATTGAAAATGAAAGACACATTCCACTCTTGAATGCTCACAGAGCATGTGAACCGAAACTTTGAATAAATCACCATATAGCATGACTTACACATAATCCTTGAGAGTCTCAAATTTCACAGATATATAGCATCGTTTGCTTAGTTTTCGCATTTAGAAAAGCCAGAACTCACTTCATTAGCCAATTCTGGGCTGAGCCAGCCCTCCTAGTTCATGTCCTGTTTCTCTAGCAAAGGAGAATCTGACAGTTGGAAATATTGTTTTGAATAAGAAGCATCTGTACCTGAGGTCATTTGTAGTTTTCTGTACTTATAGAATTAAAAATAATAATGTTCTTCTTTGGGGTTCCTGGTCCTCCAGTGAGTCCATATTAAAGCATACTTCCATCAGCCGTTTCCTGCTTGATCCCAGGGGAAGCCTGAGCGTAGCTTTGGGTGCACTCTTTTTTGAAGACAATTTGTGTATATGATACTGATCCTTGAGTCTTGACGTATGAATCTATCTACTGTGACTTCTACTGTTATCAATACTGGCTAGATTTCTTATGGGAATGAGGTTGCTTTTGACGGAGGATAAGTAAGTAAAGAGGAATGAGAAGACGTAATTCAGCAAAATGTAGAAGCACCAAACTGGGGAAAATACTCACTGTCCAAACTGAAGAACCAAAATATAAGCAGTTAAAGGTTATGTGTATCTATACATAGATATATATGTATGTATATATATAGGACACTAATACAATAAGTGCAAAAAGTGATGGAAGAACAAATATTGGATATTCTAGTTCATCTGTGGCATATAAAGAAACAAAAAAGGGAATAGGGTAGAGGACAAGCCCTTGTTATTTTTTGTGCTTGAAATAGCAACATTTACTTTTTATTAAATAGACACATCAAAAAGTTAAAAATGTTTTCCAAATCTGACCATTTTTGACTGAAACTATCAATTAAGATGGTTTCTGGGGACATACATATAAGCACACATACAGATACAAATAAAATTAGTTTTAGCTTGTTAGCATAAAATTCCTACCAAACAACGCTATTAGACATATTAGTTAAAAATGTGACTAGTATTTAAACCATTAATAACATAAAAATGATTTGTATGTTTGTTTTATGGGCTGGAATGATAGCACTGCGGGTAGGGCATTTGCCTTGCACGCAGCCGACCTGGTTCTGTTCCTCCATCCCTCTCGGAGAGCCCGGCAAGCTACTGAGAGTATCCCGCCCATATGGCAGAGCCGGCAAGCTCCCTGTGGTGTATTTGATATGCCAAAAACAGTAACAACAAATCTGGCAATGGAGATGTTACTGGTGCCCACTTGAGCAAATCGATGAACGGGAGGGCAGTGCTACAGTGCTAATGTTCTTCTTAAGAACTTAGAGGGAATCCATGGTCACAATTTAAAAAAAAATGCTACCTAAGTGTAAGGATTTTAAAAATTAAGGTTTATAAGAACCAGGGTCAACGTTATAATTATTTCAGGTACTTGTTTTTTATAAATGGCAATTCTTCTGGCTTAGCATCTTCTTTAAAATATTATCTGGACCAGAGAGATAGTAGAGAGCTGGTGGGGTGCTTCCCTGCAATTGGGCTGACCCAGGTCCTATCCCAGCATCCCCGATGGTCCCCCAAGCATGTGGAGGAGTAATCGTTGAATGCAGAGCCAGGAGTATACCAGGTGTGGCACAAAAACAAAGAAAACAAACGAAAGAAAGTTTTTTGGGCTCTACTGTCCTTTCAAAAATCTTTCATATAGTTTACGGTGAAGCACTAGATATCTGAAAGATTTTAAGGTAAAGGATTATTCAGTTAATATACTCCTTCCTCGAGTGATATCACAGAACGAATGTCGTTTGGCAAAGTAGCTAAGTACTTATACATATAAAAGAAATGGCAGACTGCCAGATGTTGAGCACTTATCTCCAGACATTGGTAGCGTTTTGTAAAGAATAATGAGTATTCCTGGCTTCTGAAAACTGTCCTTTAAGAATGTAATCATCTCCATTTTCTTCATCTAAAATGGGGATTATAATAGTGTTACGATATAGGGTCACTATGCACCTGGCACATAATAAGTGCTCAAATAAGTGTTAAATACTACGACCTTTTTTCTTGTGTTAAAACATTTGGTTTGTGTGCAAAGTAGTCAAACCAGGACAGATGACGAGGCAGCAGGAGTGCAAAATGAGGGATTTTGTTCTCATTTAACAAGACTGCTGCTGCTTTGCTCATGTTTTTGTGTATTTTTTACTTTTATGTATTTTAAATGTTTGACTTTGACTCATAATGAGTTAACCACATTATAAAAGATTCGCAATTCTTTTATAAATTCCTGGAGATATAAGCCTCAATACTATGTAGGTTTAATATACAAGGCTTGACATTTCACTGGAAGATTAATGATGAATGAAATGCTGTCATTTAAGAATCGCTCTTGCAGGAGGGCGTGTTGCTCCAGTCGTGGAACATGTGCTTTGCATGTTCAGTTACTGAGTTTGATTATCCCCCCCCCCCAAACACACACACACACACACACACACACACTATTTTTAAAGTTTGCTTTGGATTTGTAAGAGTAGGAAAATATGAAGGAACATCATAGAAAAGGGTGAACAAGAAAGTTTGTATGAAAGAGTCCATGAAACCCTCAGAACTGGTGCTGCACAGTTGGAGCAAATGAACAACCCAGCTCTTGTCTCCTTTTTTGAATACTTGGGCTGGAGAGATAGCACAGTGGATAGGGCATTTGCCATGCAAGCGGCCGACCCTGCTGACTTGAGTTCAATTCCTCTTCCCCTCTGGGAGAGCCCGGCAAGCTACCCAGAGTATCTCACCCACACGACAAAGCCTGGCAAGCTCCCCGTGACGTATTTGATATGCTAAACACAGTAACAACAAGTCTCACGATGAAGACGTTACTGGGCCCGCTCGAGCAAATCGATGAACAACGGGAGGACAGTGCAGTGCTACAGTGGATTTTCTCCCAATTACTTTTTCTGTTTTTATATGTCTTTTAAAATATGCAAGTTACATAGTGATAACTGTTCACATCCTCCTTTTTTTAAAATGAATTTAATAAATGTACCAGATGACATAAAAAAGTTTATTAAAAAAACTTACAAATTAAAAAACTCTACAAATTGTTATTCTCTGTAGACATTTTCTAGCACTAAGCCAGAGTTTAAAGATAAATAAATAAACAGCACAGTGCTGAAAATGTTTTTACCTTGAGTTGATTAGAACACAAATTTTTTTTCAGCAAGTAGACTTTTAAATAGACATTTAAAAATTATTATTAAAATACAAAATTGGATGTTGGGGAGAGTTCAGTGGGTAGAGTGCTTACCTGAAGTGGCTGACCTGGGTTAGATCCCAACATTCCATATGGTTCCACACAACCTACCGGGAGTGATTCCTGAGTGCAGAGAGAGGAGTTACGCATGGGCACTGCCAGGTATGGCCCCAAACAGTACTTATGCCATTTCTGACATATGTGTGTTGTTCCAAATACTTCTTTGGAGAACTCTTGAATTTAAAGATATTTCATAGTTACTTTGGGAATAGTAGACTTCGAATAGGACTTCAACTTCAAAAGGGATTTTGGGTAAAGTGAAATCCTTTTTGTTGGAATTTATTTTAAAAGATGTGAGGGGAGAGAAAGAGAAGGGTGTGTTTAGGACAGAACGCAGGCTTCTCCAGAGTGGAAATAGGCAAGCAAGGGAGCAGGGACAAACAGAAGAGGTACGTGTTCAAGGAAGAACACGAGCTTGAAGAGCAAGCCAAGACTTCAGAAGTTTTGATAATTTTGTATTATATATTGTATGCTAATTTTATAATTTGAAAAAGAATTGCTCTATGCTATGAGCCAGTGTTAGTCTGCAAAGTGATTTGATCTGTTATTCTGAGTTTTCCTTGTAAATTCATTTTTATATGCACAGTAGAATTATTTTCACATGTGTATTTTGCGTAAAGTAGAATGATTGTTATCTAATATGATGTTCTCTTTTAAATCTAGTTTTATTGTCCATATGTTCTCTACTTTGTGATCCTAATCCAGATGACCCTTTAGTACCAGATATTGCACAGATCTATAAATCAGACAAAGAAAAGTAAGTGTTTACTTATATTAGTTTCTGTTAGAGTGCATTTCTGTATAACCAAAGCTAATTATCAATATATTCAAGTACATTTAATTACACTGATTGTCCTCCTATGGGTGGGGCGATAGCACAGCAGGTAGGATGCTTGCCTTGCCCGCGGCCAACGTGGGTTCGATTCCTCCACCCCTCTAGGAGAGCCCAGCAAGCTACCGAGAGTGTCTCGCCCGCACGGCAAAGCTCCCCTTGGTGTATTCGTACGCCAAAAACAGTAACAACAAGTTTCACAATGGAGACGTTACTGGTGCCCGCTTGAGCAAATCGATGAACAATGGGAGGACAGTGCTATAGTGACAGTGCTATCCTCCTATAATTCCAATGGAAAGTCGCTCAAAATGTATCAGTCTTATTTACTTGGTTTGGGGGCCACACTTGGAAGTGTGCAGGACTTAACTCCTGACTCTGTACTCGGAGATCACTCCTGCGGGGCTGGAGTGCCAGGTCCCCTGGGGTGCCAGGGACTGAGCTGCATGTAAGGCGAGCACCCTGCCAGCTGTACTCTCTCCAGCCCCCAGTAGTTTTTTTGAATAAAAAGTATTATTTTCGGGGCTGGAGTGATAGCACAACGGGTAGGGCGTTTGCCTTGCACTCAGCCGACCCGGGTTCGATTCCCAGCATCCCATATGGTCTCCTGAGCACCGCCAGGAGTAATTCCAGAGTGCAGAGCCAGGAGTAACCCCTGTGCATTGCCAGGTGTGACCCAAAAAGCAAATAAATAAATAAATAAACGCCATAAAAAAAATCCAGGAGTTCTATCTGAGAAAGATCAAGGCCCAAAAGGGAAAAATAAAAACCCTCTGTTCATGTAAAAAAAAAAAAAAAGTATTATTTTCTTCACTGTTTAATCTTTTAGTAAATAACTTAGTAGTATGCATTCTCCCTTTGCACTGTCTGTCCTATTTTAATGATATGAAAGAATTATACATAACTTTGAACGTTAGTGAATTGGAAATGATTATTTGTATTCATTGTTTTCTTCCAGAAAAGAAGTCATCCCTAAATTTCCCTAAAAACTGCCATAGTTTTCAACCTGTTTCATCTTGCTGATACTGTTCATTCATTAATTACTTCTTCAGAGTAGACTCAGAGATCTGGATTAACTTGTTTCTTTTTGTTGTTGTTTGCAAGTTAGGTATATTTTCCTATAGGTTGTAGAGAATTACATTAGTTTGAAAAAATGTCTTTGTTGGGGCTGGAGAGATAGCACAGTGGGTGGGGCGTTTGTCTTGCATGCAGCTGACCTGGGTTCAATTCCCAGCGTCCCATATGGTCCCCTGAGCACCTCCAGGAGTGATTTCTGAGTGCAAAGCCAGGAGTAACCCCTGTGCATCGCCAGGGGTGACCCAAAAAGCAAATAAATAAATAAATAAATGTCTGTTTTAAATGTGCATGAGCCAAAAGTTACATTGACCCAGTTATTCACATGTTTGTGATTGTTTCAACTAATCATTTTTTTGTTTCAACTAATCTTAAGAGAATATAGATAAATGTTTTCATTTTATAAAGATAACTCTTACAAAATATTTTTTAGTATATTTTTACTATATTTCTTTTGTGTGTTTACAGATACAACAGACATGCAAGAGAATGGACTCAGAAATATGCAATGTAAAATAAAAAAAAAATCATATATACCAGAGTACTGTAAAATCTAGGTTTCTTCCAACATTAGCAGTAAATTGAGTACTGTTTACTGTTTCATTGTACCATGAAATCCTTTGACTTTTTAACCCATTTTAAATGTATTTCCGAAGCAAGACAAAACAACCTTCCAAAAATATCCTAAAGACTGTGATGAGAGCATTTATCATTTTGTATGCATTGAGAAAGACATTTATTATGATTTTTAAGATACTTGGACATCTGCATCTTCAGCTTACAAGATCTACATGCATCTGAAAAGCAACCAAATTATTTTTTGCTGAATCTAGATGTTTTTACATGAGGAATACTGTATGTGTTGTCTAAGATATGTTTTATAAATCTACATTCAGATTTCATTCTTTGTTAGTTCACTTTATAATTTGTATTTTTTTATTGTATAGACTAAATATATTCTATTTACATGTATGTCAGTGTATTACTTTTTTTCTTTGAACAGTATTGAAAAAGTCCAACTGTTGATAAATAATGGTCTTCCTTGTCTTAGGGTATTCTGTAGATCAGTTACAGATTTCTTAAACCTGAATGATCTTTACACTGTAATTCTCAATATATTGACTATGGAGAAACACTTGTTTTTGATCTTGTTATACTTGACTTTATGGCAATGTGAATTAATTGCACTGCTAAGTAGGACAATGTGTAAACTATTTTGTTGCTCTTCACATATGAATTTTTTTTGTATAGGCAATATTGACACCTTTTACAGATCCTAATGTAGCTTTTTTCCATATAAATAAAATGCTTTTTCTACTATTTGTCTTGATTACTTAAAAAGTTAAAAATTATCTATCAGTGAGAATCAAAGCACTATATAAAAAATTGCATGAAATTTAATTCCAAATTGTCAAACTGTTTATTGTATTCGGTATTAATTATAATAATATAAATATTATTGATTTAGATTTGTATCTGCTTACAAAATTATCCATCTACAGGATGATAGTCTTTGATCCTTGTTATGGAAGAAATTAGAATTAGGGCATTTCTTGTATCATGTCTAAAATAGAATGTTTGCTATTTTGAGGATAAGGCATTGTTGAAGAAAAGTGTCAGGCCTGTAGAATAATTAGACTTATTAAAATGCCCCTCTAAGTATAACTGACCTTGTATTTTTTAACGTTTTAAAATCTAGAATTTCTAACATAGAATCTTAGTGTCATCATAATTTGAAAGAGGGTGTCCGTTTTTTACTAATAGAAATTATAAAGAAAATTCTAAAATGCTATTTCCTCTGTTTTTATCAATTGCGAGTTAAAGTGATTTAAATAAGTAGGTTATATTTACAGATTGTAAAAAAATCTAGGACGTTCTTTGTTTTGACTTGAGGAAAAATGCATCTCTTCAATTATTAGCATGTTTACCAAATGAGTGAATTACGTTATATTTAAGAAGAGTTGTAGTTCTTCTGATTATCGCAGTAGCTGACTAAGTGTGCAAGAATCTGTGATGGGTGTAGTCATTAGCAAATCACGGAAGTATTTTACCATGGTTCATTATTATTAAAGCACAAAATAACCCATTGTTAGTAAATATGTGTTTCTTAATGAATGTAAAATAATTAAATGAATTGTGAAATGGATGTTTAAGAAAATATAGACTTAAAAATAACTATATTGTGATATCTCGAAACAGCCATATGAAAAACACTACTAGCTATATTATTATAAGCTCTTTTGCCCAGAATTTAAACACTTGACATCATTAGATTAAGTATTTAGTATATTTTGAGAGTGAATGAGTTTTGTTTCTTGAATATCGCCCTTTTTTTTTAAACTTTCATTTGTGTGGCATTTATTTTCGGAAGTGTCTTTTTTCCTTTATTAAAGCTTTTGAAACTTGCCTAACTCTTGTTTGCTTTTGCCTATATCTGAACTGTAAAATCAGTGCCCACGGAGTGAGCACAGATTCTCATAATTAACTAAAATTTCTTAAAGAATTTAGTGTTGGCATAATCAATAAGATCACTGTTTTGGATATGTAGTGTTTCTCTTAATCGTGACAAAGAGGTCATCAGTTAAAATTTGAAGCCAGGAGCTTTAATCTTTATAGATTACCAAGTTAAGGACCTACTTAAAGTGAAGAAGTAGGAAAACGTTTGTAGATTTGGCATTATACCTCTTGGTACACAGTTGGAAACCCTGTCCAGATTGGATTCTGGACATTTGTAACTGCCAAATGCAATAAATCAGTGTGATACTAGCTGTAAGGGCATTTCATTCATGGCCCAATTATCTCAAGAGTCAGTCAGTTATTCCTGAAGTACAGGTTTTCCAATTATCCTTTGTTGTTCTAAGTTCTTCAGCATCACCCCTCCAGGGAAAATAAAAGTTGGAAAACATTTACAATTTCTTTCTTCAATCAACCACTTAATAAACTTCAGTGTATCGAAAGCTGTTAGGTGATAAGGGTCGCACGAGGGCAATACCAAGTTAATATTCAAGAGTGATTTTTTAAAAATACCATAGTAGTTTTTTTATTTATTTTACCATAGTGGTTTGTTCATTCATTGATACTTCGTAGCATTTCTAAACTACTCCCACAGTTTTATAAGGTGGAAAGTGGGGAAATAAACTTTCAGATCACAGGAGATTCTTGGTCACAAATGATATAATCTTTATTAGTTATTTTGAACTAGACCTGGGTCCATTTATTCAATGATAAGTTGAATTTTGAGTTCTGTAGTAGAATCATCAGTGTTTATTAGCTATAGAAATGTGATTAATGCTTTAGCCATGTCTTTTGTATATTCAGATATTGAATTTTGTCTGTTACACACACACACAGAATTGCTTATCTAGTTCAAATCTTTTGTGATTATTCATATTAAATAATAACAAGTCTGAATTTTAAAAGTTTATTCCATTGTGTTGTTCTTTCAGAGGAGTTCTCTCTCTCTCCCTCTCTCTCTCTCTCTCTTTATCTTTGTGGGTGTTTGGGGCCTACCCTGGTTGTCTTCTGAGACCACACTTGGTTCTGTGCTCAGAGACTGTATTGCAGTGGCAGAATTTCAGCCAGGTGGTGGCTGTACCGCCCTGCTAGGCAAGCACCTTGACCTTTGTACCACCTGGCCCCAGAAGATTTCCCTTTAAAGCAAATTGAATTTCAAAGTCATAGTCCTAAAATGCAATACAAGTTAGTGGTGAAAGTTTTCCCTTTTAAAACAGGACTCTTTTACTGTCCTGATAGCTGTATTTGCCAGCTGAATGGTCACTATCCGATAGCAAACAAGGGAGCCGGCTGAAGGTAGGTCAAAGGGCTCCCTACAGGCTTTGCATGCAGAATACCCCGTTCTGAGCACTGCTGGGAGCAATCTAGGGAATAACCTTCCTCCTTCCCCACCCCCACTCCTCATCCTCATCCCCCCCCCCCCCCAGCCTCCCCACCACCACACCACTCCCCCATGCTGCCAGATGTGGCCACAAAACAAAGGCAGATCATGCAGCAGGTAGAGATTTCTCTCATTTCATTTGTGAAAAACAATGTTATAGTCTTTTTTGCAGAGCGTAGTGGTGTCGAGGAGGCAGTTATAGAATGATGTTTGTGACTATGTGAGTGATAGGCTTTCACAGGGTCTTTTAAATGCCACTGGTAACATTGTGGCAGCTGATGATTTTGGCTGCAGAAATAAATTATACTGTACAAGTGTTCAGGTCACAACCCAGTAGTATTTATTATATCACTTATTTGTATTGTTGTATTTAAATTTCTTCTGTTACGTGAAATTGTGATTTTACTTATTGATTCATTTTTGGATCACATCCAGCTGTGGTCATGCTCCTAGCCCTGCAGTCAGGGATCACTCCTCGAAGGGCTTGTAGAACCTTGTTGGTGCCAGGCTTTGAACTCAGGTCAGCCACGATTCCAAGGAAAGCGCTCAGTCCACTACACTGTCTCTCTGGCCGCCCACTTAAGTGATTTTCAATTGTAACCGAACTAATAAGAAGATGGAATATTTACCCAAAAGTATCATTGGTGGCATTTCAAAAGTTGGCTTAGCACTCTCTTAGTTCTTGCTCATATAGGTAGAATTTTGTCTTACCTGGGGAAGAAGTTGCTTTTATTACACTAGCACATGTATAAGTCTGAGCTGTTCTTTCCTCGTATCATTTACTTGAGTGGAAAATACAAGAACTCTTTAGTGCAATAAACCACAGTGGGTTGCATATGAACATGTATGCGTATTATAAACTCGTACACATGTTGAGGGAACAGTTGTGATACCATTTGTGTTAGCACTTCTGAGACACTTGTTTAGCGGTCCCAGACCATCATGCATTCAGTGTGTCAACAGAAGAATTCACACCTAAGGTTTATTATAGTAACAAGGCCAAGTTACAAAGTTGAATCAGAAGTAAAGAGTTTAGGCAGAATCTGGGGGGACGGGGGTCCTGTGGGGGGGAGGGGATTCCAACTTCCTATCGCTCTTCCTGCAGGGGTCATATGACACTAACCTCCAATTGTTAAATGCAGTAACTTGGGTAGTTTCTACCTAGGAAAGCCTGTTGAAATGCATAAGCCTCATTTAGTTAGTGGGTATTAAGTAATTATGTATACTGACCGCAATTCTGGTCTCCTAGAAACAAAGCAAATGTTGGTCATTGATTACATTGTTTATTTTATAAACTTAGGCAAGCTCAGCAGATTGATTTACCACTTTGGGAGAATTCCCCAAGCCACACTGGATGCATGCCGAGAGAGCCCACTCTGTAAGCAGTCAGGTGGGCACCATGTGTTGAAAAGACCACTCTCTTTTGGTGATCTTGGTACCCTTCTTGAATATCCTGCCTATGGAGGTTTGTTTCTAGACTTCCAATTATTTTCTCTTGGTCTCTTGATTTAAATATGCCAGTTAACTATTTTGATGACTATAGTCTGTTCCCTGCACCTCATCCCCGCACGTCTGTGGTGCTGGGGATTGAACCCAGTGCCACACAAATGAAAGAGGTAGGCAGTCCCTGAGCCACATCTCCTTTAGTAGCACTGTGATTTGCTCGAGCGGGCACCAGTAACATCTCCATTGTGAGGCTTGTTGTTATCGTGTTTGGCATATCGAATACGCCAGGGGGAGCTTGCCAGGCTCTGCCCTGCAGGCAGAATACTCTCGGTAGCTCTCCGAGAGGGACGGAGGAATGGAACCCGGGTCAGCCACGTGCAAGGCAAATGCCCTACCTGCTGTAGAGTTTAGTAAGTTTTGAAATTGGGAAGTCTGGATCTTACAACTTGTTTCTTTCCCACAATGTCTCTTTCATAACTCCAAATATACTTTAGGATCATTTTTTCCCTCTCTCCAAGATTTTAATTGAGATTACACTATCTACAGTGCGATTTTGACAAAGTTGCTATCTTTTATTCTGATTATCAATGGCTGGAGTTGCTTTATTGCACTGATGGGTTCTGTTGGGTCAGTAATGGGAGTGGAGCAGTAGGGATGGCTTGTCTGGCCCACAATACTCAGAGCCTTGGCTGGGAGTGACTCAATCAGTGAGGGACTGAAATAATTTGGAGGCTTCTTCACCAGGATTTTGGCACCTGAACTAGAATCGCCTGTTGGAACATGTAGTTGTGGTTATTCTGTGCAGTCTGAGTGCCTTGCCGTTAGGTAGAACACCGGGATAGCAGATGTTCCCGGAGAATGAGGGGTAACCTGCATGGCTTTTGGTTGGTTTTTTTTTTCCTTTTTAAACTAGCTTTTATTAGGATCTAAGGTTTACAATATTGTTAGCCGTCCTTTTCACGGACCCATCCTCCCAACACCGCCAGCGAGCGCTTCCCCCTGTGCCTGTGCCCAGGAACCCTTGTTCCCCTGTGCAGTCTCAGCTCTGTGGACAAACTCTACGGTTCCAACTTTGACCATCTGTTGTTCCCTTACTGTGTTTCTTTTTCATCTCCATGTTTGAGATAGATTTCTCTTTTCATTTTATTGTGAAGGTGGTGATACACATGTAGATAAATAGAGCAAATCGCCTGGAAGTCCATTGATAAAATCGTAAATCAATGACAAATTGATTTTAAAAAGTTTTCAAAAACTTTTATAGGTATGTAATTTTTTTAAAACATTACAAATAATTTGATGCTAATATGTTTTAAGATTTACATGAGATAGATAAATTGTACTAATGTAAAATTTTCACGAATTTGCATGTCATCCTTGCGCAGGGGCCATGCTAATCTTCTCTGTATCGTTCCAATTTTAGTATATGTGCTGCCGAAGCGAGCGATAGCACAGCGGTAGGGCGTTTGCCTTGCACGCAGCCAACATGGTCGACCCAAGTTCGAGTCCTCCGCCCCTCCCGGAGAGCCCGGCAAGCTACCAAGAGTATCTCGCCCACACGGCAGAGCCTGGCAAGCTCCCCGTGACGTATTTGATATGCCAAACACAGTAACAACAAAGTCTCCAATGGAGACGTTACTGGGCCCTCTCGAGCAAATCGATGATCAATGGGAGGGCCTTTACCTTTACCTTTACCAATGTAAAATTTACTAAGAGTGAAGGGAGTTAAGGAGAATTTAAGAGTAGACTCTAAATAGGCTTGTGGAAGTATAAAAGTGTGTTTTATCCTCAGGGAGTGATTATTGGCTTTAAGTTAGAAATATTATAGAAACTGTGTGTGTAAGCTGCATGTTTTTCTTTTCTTTTTTGTTTTTTGGGTCACACCCAGCAATGCACAGGGGTTACTCCTGGCTCATGCACTCAGGAATTACTCCTGGCAGTGCTCAGGGGACAATATGGGATGCTGGGAGTCGCACTCGGGTCGGCCGCGTGCAAGGCAAACGCTCTACCTGCTGTGCATGATTTTTTATAATCTAGCTTTTAAAATCACAGTATGACTTCTGTTATA